CTTGTTTTGCTGATTAAACCCCCTAATTTGTGTGTTTTCGCATCTCCTTTAACTGTATACCATTTTTTTTAAACTTGCATCTTAATTTGTTGCAAATTGTGCATTTGGAAAAAATATACATGAGTATATGCTAGTATTTGGGTTCTACCACAGCTTAATATGCTCAGCCAATCTCCGGGTCTGCTGGGGGCACTATTAGCTAAGCATAAATCATTTAGCAGGATTAGACTATTAGCATCTCGCTTAAAATGAACAAATTTGTTTAAATATTTTTCCTTTTTAAATTGTCATCATTTACTCAACCTTTACTTGTTCCAAACTGGTTTGTCTTTTTTTCTTCTGTTGAACACAAAAAAAGAAATACTTTGAAGAAAGCTGGAATCATGTAACTATTTACTTCTCTATTTGTTTTTTTACTTCTATGGAAGTCATTAGTTACAGGTAACTTATGTTAAATATATTGCTAATGAAACAAAAAAACGTTGACTTTCATTGTTTCTTTACCTACTTTTAAAATTTTGGTTGGGTGGGTAATAGTACACCACCTTTTTTAGGACTACACCACTGTTTGCAACATAAGCTGTCAAATGCACACGTGTAAATATAGATAGATAGTAGACATTTCCACTCAATTCGATTGTCTCAAGTTTCTTTTTTGAAATGTGCATCTCAATACAATCAGTATGATCCATTGATTTGAAGCTGTTTAGTTCTTTGTGATTTGTGGTAAAACTAGCTGACTGTAATTCCTGGATTTGATGGCAATCTAAAGAAACTCTGCTGTGGTTTATGTGTTCACACCCAAGCTTCATACTTTCTTAAATCCACTCACAATTTGATTTTTAATTCCCTTAAATGAACTGTTACAGATGCTTCGGACAGAAACTGAATGCACAAGAGATTTGAAGTGTTCTTCATCTTTCTATCTTTAAAACTGAATTTAGGCAATATGCACTAAGAAAGAGGAAGGAAGGCGGAAACTAGCATGAAGTGACAGAGAAGGAAATGCTCGGCCTCTACTTCTCCAAGTCTGATGCCACGTTGTTTGCAGGTTTTAGTAATAAAGCATTTTACTGCATAACCCTCTTACACTGTAAAAATATGTAATGATAAATATTTTTATGTTGCTTTAACTTAAGTTAATCAAGTTTCAACTACATTTTTTTAAGCTATACAAAGTTTATATTGATTCAACAAAAAATACATAAGACCGCAAAAATGTTTTTACAGTCTATTATTTATTTATTTTTAATTCTTTCTCAATGCTATACCAAATACAGTCTTGTGCATATGCTGACTTTTGTGACTACAAATGTGTATTCATTTGCAGTCAGATCACCACATTCAGTCAAACACACTGTAAATGACAAAATAAGAAAACTGAGCATTATGCAAAGAAAGCATCATAGCTGGAGTAAATGCGGGAGTGCAGGAGATGTTCAGTTACACCACATCCTTCCACACAAACATGGAAACCACTGAGTTATTTCTATCAAAGATTGTCAGAATTGTTTCATTGTGATCATTAACATTTATTTGCACCCGGTTAACTTACCACGGCAGTTATTATATCCAAATACACTCATACACTCTATAATACTGCATGACTTCTTAATTTTTGCTTCCAAACACAATGGTAAAATGAGTGACTGTCAACACTGGTCAGCCAACCGTTCAGTTTCCTTCATCCATTTTTGTGTCTATGATGCTGTCATTCAGCCTAACTTTATAGTGTTCACCGGATGAAAAGCTATGCAAGTTTAAAACAAGTACATTAAAGCAATTTAATGTAGAATAGGTTTAACTAATCCTTCACAATTAACTCTGGTAGGATGAAATATATTTGTGTTTTGTTTTAGCTCCTCCAATCTACTTTTAGACAAACTGAGCAAACTGAATATAGTTTTCATGTCTATATGTATACTGTATGAATGAAGTGAGTTCATTACTTTATCAGCCATTTCATATTTAGTTCTCTTACTTAACTTCCTTAAATACTCAACTGTGCCTCGCCACAGTTAAAAAACTAGCTAACAAATCAATAAAATCAACCAACCAATTACAATCCAATTAATTCATTAGGAACGATTGACAGATTAGCATAGTTTAAAAAGCTAGCTACTCATCTCAACAGCATTTAGGCGTTGTGGAGGCATTTAGGCGCGCCCAAAACGCTACCTTGCCAGCTTACTAGGTTTTGAGACGCCGCCAAAGATGCTAAGTTTTGCACGGTTTCCAATAACGGCGGACACAGAAACATAGATTATACCGGGATGGGGGACTGTACCTGAGAACTGTGGCTGGAAAGGGACTGGCTCCTGAGGCGAGAGGATGAAGCGCCGAACTCTTGACAGATGGAGAGAAGTGGGTGAATGCCAGCGGTTGTGGCTGGAGCTCGATCTAAATCATGGAGGAAGTGAGAGTTTTAGATGTAGATGAGGATGGGAGGTGTCCTCGCTTTATGTTTCCTTTTAAAGTGATTTACGTGTATGAAACTGCACATCCCTTTATCTTGGTGACTTGTCAGCAACACAAACGTGTCGCGCGCGGGCGGTTTTGTCGACTCGTTTATCTCGTTATCGCTCTTACGCTTTTATTTGCAACAATAGATAACAGTAAGTAGTTAATTGCAAAATTACAGTAAATAACTTTACTCAAGAAAGCACCATGGCGACCATTTCTGCATTTAGGCTTATTATTGCATCATGTGGATCAACATTTTTTCTTTAATTGGCAAAACCAATTTAAAAATAATAATAAAATAAGTTCAGCAAAAATACATTAAAAGTACGTAGATTTTTATTTAGAAAAAAGTGTTTTGTTACAATTAAAAATTGTTATATCCATTATTCGCCTATTTATACTTTAAGACACTATAATGATGCAATTTAAAGGGTCAGTTCAACCAAACAATTCCTCACCACTTATTCATTTTCCTTCAGCTTAGTCCCTTTATTCCTCAGGGGTCACCACAGCGGAATGAACTGCCAACTTATCCAGCATATGTTTTACACAGCGGATGTCCTTCCAGCTGGGGAACCCCATACACACTCATTCACATTCTACAGTCAATTTAGTTTATCCAACTCATCACGTCTTTGGACTGTGGGGGAAACCGGAGCACCCGGAGGAAACCCACGTCAATTCGGGGAGAACATGCAAATGTAACCCTGTGGGTCCTACAGTGCCCAACCCGCTCTGAGTTGGGATTGAACCGGCGATACTTTGCATGGGAGTCGGTTGCTCTAACAAGGAGGCTAAAGACCATTGCCTGTAGCATCTGTCACTAGAGCATCTTTGGAGGTCAGAGGAGTAAGGTTTACCTGCACAGCATTTCACTAGCAGGCCTCAGCCACACAAACTCCACATAGAAATGCCAAGTGGCTCAGCCAGGACTCGAACCAGCGACCTTCCTGCTGTGAGGCGACAGTGCTAACCAATGAAACACTATGTCACCCTCCTCACCATTTACTTGGTGCTAAACTTTTGAATTTATGCCAACCAAGATATTCTGAAGAATGTTGGGGGGAAAGCAGCTAACATTCATAGTAGGTACAAAAGATACTATTGAAGTCAATGATTCTTCAGTATATCTTCCTTTGTATTTTTGTGTTCTTAACAGAATTAAGAAACTCCAACATTTTTCTTTTTCTTTTTTTGCTGGGTTGGGGGGCAACTTTCTATTTAATATGGCAAATATAAAACATTCATTTCTTTTCAGCTTAGTCCCTTTATTAATCAGGGGTCGCCACAGCAGAATGAACTGTCATCTTATCCAGTATATGTTGTTTTTACGCAGTGGATGCCTTTCCAGCTGCAACCCATCACTGGGAAACACCCATACACGCTCATTCACACTCATACACTATGGATAATTTAGCATGTCTTTGAACTTGTGGAGAAAACCAAAAGCACCCAGAGGAAACCCTCACGATTCGGCCCATAAAGCATTCGTTTAACCAGTTACACAATCCTGTTTCGGGCACAGTGACACAGTGGGTAGCACGATCGCCTCACAGCAAGAAGGTCGCTGATTCAAGCCTCAGCTGGGTCAGTTGGCAATTCTGTGTGTTTGTATGTTCTCCCTGAGTTTACGTGGGGTTTCCTCCGGGTGCTCAGGTTTCCCCCACAGTCAAAGACATGTAGTAAAGGTGAATTGGGTAAGCTAAAATTGTCCGTATTGTGTGTGTGTGTTTGAATCAGAGTGCATGGGTGTTTTCCAATGATAGGTTGCAGCTTAAGGGGCATGTGTTGCATAAAACATATGCTGGATAAGTTGGTGGTTCATTCCGCTGTGGCGATCCCAGATTAATAAAGGGACTACGCCGAAAAGAAAATGAATGAACAATCCTATTTCAATTAATCAAGAAAAAAAGACAATCAAAAGAGACGATGTAAAAATATAAACCTCAGTTTATTGCACAATCGCTGCAGGAGACTATGGGGTTTGGAAGATCTGTCTGTGTGAACAAATGTAACCGTGGACATACAAATAGACTGAGAGAGAAATATAGGCCCAAAAAATAAACCAACAAAGAGACACACTTGTAGATGAAACCACTTACAACAAGAAATGTTTACGTAAAACCAAAGTTACAACAATGCTTGTAATAAATTTGTTAAGGAGACCTAATAAAACAACAAAAAAGAAAAATAAGTGCTAACAGGGCTCATCGGGTGAACTTCATCCAGAAGGTCAACAAGGTTCAAACAAGGCTTCAATTACGCTGTTGCAGAGCCAGTAGAGTGCTTTGACCACCAGATGGTGCCACACGACAATCAAATTCAAAAGAAACATTCAAGCAAAGAGTGAAAAAAACAAACAGAAACAAGACAGATCTTTCAGAGACCTCCTGCCTTCCTATGTGCATTAGCTTCTCAGCCTCTGTACTTAAATTAAGATTATCATTAATAGTGGTAATCCATTTCAGTATAATAGTAATAACAATATTTCCATTATCATAATAATGCGAAATGTAACTAATGAGGAGTCGTTTTTAAATTATCAGTAACAGGCTATCCAGCACCTGCATACTAAGAAAAAAAAGGTATTATAGTTTCATACATCATGTCATTATTTTCTTTTTTTTTTTCAACCACAGGACGTTAGAATATACAGACAGGAGAACATCATCCATGAGAACATCATCCTCGTTCCACCTCCAAAAACGTGGGTTCTGATGCAATCCACTTCCTTTAGGGCTCGATGTAACATGCTCTGCACATTCTCACATCACCTAACTAACTACATGAATAAACACATTCTTGATCAGCATTTATGGACACATTCGGCCCATCAAAGGCAATACGCATCAAGAAAGATGCATGGTCCAAATGCCTGATGACTGATAAAAGCCATCGTGACCTTTGCCCTTTAAAAACACACCACTGGCATCACTGGTTTTTCAGTCTTCGATCTCAACCAGAACAAGCAAAAAAGACATGACAGGATGAAAAGAAAAACTGGCCCGAAATCAGTAGTTGAGGTCACTCAATACAAGTGAGCACTGACAGGGCACCCTGAGAAGAGGAAACCCCAGGATGGCATGGTCTGAGCTAAACATGTTAGTGTGAATACACAGATCTTTCTTTTCAGGACTGGTGAAACATCGTTTTTTTTTTGGAATTCACATGTACAAACATGTTTGCGTATGTATATATATGTACATATTTCAATTATGCATAGTTATCCAGTGGGTTTCAGAGGTAATAACATATCAGGACCCCCGTTTTTTAGTTTTTTTCAACCCAAAACAACTGTATTGCAGCCTCTCCTTACCTTTTCTAACGTAAAAAAATGAGATTTTGCCAACCGAACTGTTATAATCGCTTCTAAACTGTTTAAAAACCAAAGACCGTGTTGACGTTATGACATCATAGTAGTACAGACATATCATTATGACATTAACCCTACTAAATAATGCAACAGCATTGTTAGCTCCCCTCAAGGCCGTTCATTGTGGTGTCACAATTTGAGCTTTTTACTGTTACAGGATGATCAAATCGCTGCTGTTTTTGAAATCGGACAATTCGTATCAAGTGTCGCCCCCTCTGAGATGAAATACATAAACATTCAATATATTCTCTTAGAACGTTGTTGCTTTATATATTAATATGAATATATAAAAATGTCAGTATGTATGCCGCTTGCATTTTATGCATATACAGTCTACATATAGGTATTTACCTTACCCATATGGACTTCTAATTGGTTTTTCACTTTGATCCAAAGCCCTTTTGGTAAAAAAATAAACAGTGCAGTTAATTACTTGATATGGTTGTATTGCCTCTGGGCTGCCCTCCTGATTTCATTCCCTTTCTATAGACAGACGTGCTTTGAAGCATTAGCTTTGTTACTGCACATTAAGCACACGTCAGTGGTTGCATTGCGCAAGCATTACAAATCGTACGTTGTGTTTTCAGGGGATTGCTTTACTGGTATTTACATGCACCGCTTCATTTCAGAGCTGTCAATTAATAGCATTAAAGGTGAGGGACTGTATTTGTGGCTGCTAGGATCGGGACTGCTGTGTGTGACACCTGAGGCCCCAAAACAGCTAATTTGGCATAGAGTATATTTGAGTTTGTCAGATATATCGGAGCAACATTCTACCTAACATGCACTGGTTCTACACTAATAGGTCTGACTTCTGCTATAGGATTATCAGAGTGCTGTGGTTGTGTAAAGATATGTGATCCCCAACTGGTTAAAAATAATAATAATAATAATAATAAAATAAAAACAGTAGTAGATGCACTCAAAAAACAAAAAAATTCAAACATTTTCAACAACATCTTAAATATAATGTCAAGAGAACTGAAATGACCTCACTGATGTTCATTCTGAGAGCTACATTGCGATAGTGTCTCCCAATCTATCACATTGTGTCATTTGTTTGTCACAAGCTATAGAGGTTGCAAGGGTAAAAAGAGTCATCCTTGGTTTGTTTCACATAGTAGCGCATAAATGTGCCAAGATAAATCCAAATGTGCAAAAAAAAAATAAGGTTCCTTAATACTGCACATTTGGAACAATGTCAACGTTTCCATAGTGCAATCAGCCAGAGGAAGTGATTTATTTAGGCCAATTCACACTGCACCAACAAATGCAGACCAACGCAGACAATCGCCAGATGATGCACATCACTGTTCAGACAATCTATGACCCGACAAACACCAATTCAGCATGTTCAACTAACGAAAACGAGCTCTGACAGATGCAAACACACATCGACTAATCCTACAAAACCCAATGAAGTGTGAATTGACCTTTTGAATTTGACTTTCTAAAGTAGGAGACTGTTTAGCTTTAGTCTTTTGGCAACTTATCTGAAATTAGAGGGTACATAATGAAAAATATATACATCCTGTGCATTAACTTCATCCAATTTCTCAGGATTTAATGCTTAATTTGCTCTGCACAGCCTTTAAAATATTCTCAGCCACAGATGAGCATGAATGGATGTGTTCAACACATGCATAGGATTACCTGGTGAACACTTTTGTTTCACCCTTTACTTCTGTGCTGTTACAAGTGCATCATCTGTGCAGGCAGAAAATTTGGTCTGTACCCGGTAAAGAAAGTAGATAAAATTGCATTTCAAGGACATGGACCATCGAAGAACATGGACAACTTATTAAGTCTTGACGTTTCTTACAAATAAGAACCATATATATATAGCATTAGTTTGGCACAAGTAAGCCGTACCAATATTCCCTTAGTCATCCTTTAGGAATTCATAGTGTAATACAGCTCCATTCTGGAGTCCAATGTTCCTCTGCCACATCTGATGAGCGGGAACATCAGGTGTACAGTAGTGGAGGAGAGCCAGCAGAGAATTAAAGCCTTCGTGCAAACAGCACACCATCAAGAAAATAATATTCCTCGTCTTAAACCCAAGGTTACATGGATAATTGAGGTTAAAGGTCAGGAAGAAATGAAATCTAATTTAGAGCTGTACAAAATTCAATCTTCCAAACTACAGATTAGGATATTAAAAACCACGAGTGTACAAGCTTGAATGGACTGTTTAGCAGCAGAGCAGAGGAAATATCTATTGCAGGTAACGGTAAATGTTTCCCAAGGCATTATTAAAATCATGCTCCTGCAAAAAAAAACGGCATTAACCAAATGCCCCTTAGATGCTATCAAACACGATCAAAGCCACCAAGGGCACTCAAACCCTAAAGCGCCCTCTCAGCAACTTTAATCACTCAGTAAACATAAAAACAGCAAGGCAACAAACCAAGGAATGACCCTTTCAACCTTACGATTGTGAATATATGGACCTGAACAGGGAAATGACACACAAAAAAGTGATAAAACAAGTAAAATCAACTCAAGTATTTCCAGTAAATGTTGCTGTGAGTTCGGGCATACAGTACATTTTGTGAGAGTGTGTGTGTAGTGTGTATTGTAGTGTTCGCATTGATGTAACATCTGATATGCTGCATAGTCTGCAATAGAGTAAGTTCGAGGTGCATACGTCATTTCTGCACCGGCGATTTTGTTGGTGTCACCAGCGAAAATTGAGAAATAGAGACAAACTGTAATTAGTTGTCATGAAAGCCATGCTATTTTGAGCAGAGTTTTTGATAATGTGATATGTTACATCTTGCTTTTCGAGAGCCAATTATCTACGGGCTCGATTCTGTCTGTCTTTATATAGCGAAAACTAAATTTAGAGGCTTTTTAATAAATGCTTTAAACGCTGGTGAATATATGACATCCAATAATGTCAGACCCTATGTGTGTGCATATATGTGTGTGTGTGTATTCCTGTAGATTGTGTAGATCTTGAACCAAAAAAAAAATAAATCTGGCATTTTTTGGGCTAGTAGGTCTAAACAGTGCCATGCACAGACAATGTTTATGCAAACACAGATATGTACATTCTGGCTACTGACGGCACAAACAAGCATGTGTGTCGAAGCTGGCACTGGTGTCTCCTAAAAAAACATTTAAAACACTTCTTATGGACTTCTCGTGCACACATTTATATACAAAGCACAACAGCCTCCCCCCAACCCCAACCATTCCTTGCCCAATTAACGCTGCATTCCCAAACATCTCATTACTAAAAGAGGTCCTCGCGCCCTATTACCCACGAATCCAGACTAGCAGGGGCCACCGTCAGTCTGAGGGACAGTGATAGGTGTTTATCCACAGTAAATCGTCCAGCACCCCCCAGTGTAGGTACAGTATGGAGACCACCACCAGCACATGCATGATCTGATGGCTGTTGCACCAGTAGTCAAAGAGGCCTGGCCGGAAGCGTTCGGGGATTCGGGTGATATTGATGACCCCACCCAACACCGCTAGTGCATCCATGGTGAGAAAGTGACGCAGTGAGGTGGGACTCCCTCCGCCCACACCTACCCAGCGCAGGAGGAAAAAGGAGAAGCGGAAAAGGGCTTGCCAGGCGAAGGAACGCAGACGCCGCACTCTGCTGCGTGCTGTGATGGCACAGTAGATGGCGTAACTGGATAGCAGGATGTACATCAACAGAGCCACTGTGCGTGTGAAGGGGTAGCAGAGAAGAGTGCTGTACACAATGGGCAGAGCTCCTGTAAGAGCAAACACAGTGTTACTACGACAAAAAGCTCTTGTTATATGATGCTGGATATATACCACTACATGATTTTAGGTCGCTGACAAAAGCCAAAAATCAAAAGCAAACGAATGGTTGTTCATGAGTTAGAGTTAATCCCATGGTGAGTTATCATCAGTGGCTTAAAGTAACAAATTACAAATACTCAAACTACTGTAATTGAGTAGTTTTTCTCAGGAATAGTAATTTTCAATATAGTTTTAAAAATGTTTACTTTCACTTCAATACAATGTCAGGCCGATGTCAGTGTCTAACGTCCAATCTAAAATCAACCAAATATTAACAATCTAATGATGTTACTAGGCATGGGCCGTTATATGATTCGGACGGTATGATAACCTTGGATAAAAATATCACGGTTTCACAATTACTGCTTAAAAATATACTCTTTTTAAATGTCTGAGTAAAAAACAAACAAAAAAAAATCCCCTTTGAAAACACTATATTTTATTTTTTGAAAGATTTAAAATATTTTGGAGCAGTAAACACGTCAGGCAACATAATGAAATTAAATCATTGACTTCTGCTGTCTTCATTAGTTTCAAAAACAGAGATTACATTACAATCTAAAACGGCATATTTGGATATCTTTTGTGCTGGAGATACTGTTGTCCTAAAAACAAACAAAAAAAAGTAAATGAAAAATCTTACATATCTTAGGAACGGTATTACAGAAAACTTAGCAGGTTTTAAAACCTTGACTTTTCAAAACGCGGTATACCTTGAAAACGGTTATCGTCCCATGTGTAGATGTTACAGCTTGACGTAGTGTGGACGTTACCACTATGACGTCTATCAGACATTAGATTTTAGTTACCATACCTGATGAATAAATGTCAGTATTCGACGTCAATATGACATTGGTTTAAGTTGTTGACTCAACGTTGAATATTGGTCACTTTCTAACACAAATTAAAATCAACCAAATATTAACGTCATTATTTAAAGTCAAATTAACGTTGTCCTTAGACGCTGATTAGACATTGAATTTTGGTCACCTGACGTCACAACCTAAATATAATTTAATATTAACATCTTAGGACATTGTGTGGCTGCTAGGCAATAACTAAATATACTACAGAATGTTACGTTTAAACACATCCACAAATTACATTTAAATGCATCAGCTTTTTACAGCATAATACTCGCTACTCTCTACTCATGAGTACTTTTGAAAGGGCTACTTTTTACTCATATTTTGAGTAATATTTACAGCAGATAATTTTACCCAACTTGCACCATATTTTTTAGGCAAATAGTGGTACTTTTACTTGAGTATGACATTTCGGTACTCTTTTCACCGCTGGTTATCATAGACACGATCTGAAGTGCCTCAAAAATATTTAGAAAAAGAAATATTTAGGAGACTGTTTGACACCTGAGTCTTGCTTTTTAATTGGCAAATATACTGACAAGATGCAGATAAATTATTGCCAATGAGAGAGTGCAAGATACAGAGGAAGGCAAGTTCAAAAGAAAAAAGTGTTGAGTGTTAATATCGACAAAACTATTGAAGAATAGCCATTCTCGTCTTAAGACAATTTTGAAACACTTTTTTTATCCACTTCTAATGTTGACTACTATATAAATAAATGATATAATAATTATTATATATGATAAACACATACACTACTGGTCAAAAGTTTGGGGTCTGTAGGATTTTTAAATGTTTTAACATAAACCTATCCTGCTCACCAAGGCTGCATGAAAAATACAGTACAGTACAGTATTGTAAAATTGTGAAATGTTATTGCACTATAAAATAACTGTTAAAAATTAGTTTATTGTTTAATTTAATGATTTAATCCAGTGATTTTAAAGATCACTGCTGAATTTTCAGCTTCATTACTCCAGTGTTCAGAGTGACATGATCCTTCAGAAATCCCTCTAATATTAATTATTATTATTATTATTATTATTATTATTATTATTATTATTATTATTATTATTGGTAATAATAAAATTTGATTAGAAAATACATACGATAAGTAATAAATAAATAAATATTTAGTAAGTATTTAGCAATTTAACTTTATTTACATTTAATAAATGTTGCCTTTTTGAAAAAAAAAAAAAGAAAAAAAAGACCCCAAATTTTTGACCTTTAGGGTACATACAAAATAGGAACTGAACATGTCACCATTTTTTCAGAAATAGGTGCCGTTCACTTGAGACTTTCACCAGATGTCAGTAGCAACCAAGTAATTGATACATACCAAGAAAACAAAACTAATTTGTTTAAAAATGAAGTGATGTGTAACAACATAAAATGACTCAGGGATAAAGTATTGAACAATCTATTGTCCATTTCACACAGGAGGCATCTTGAAGCTGTCTTTATATAAAAAAGCCTTTTATACAAAGTATTAAATAAATTTCAGTAGTTCAGTGGTTTCTCCTTGTGTCATTCCATTGTTATTGCACATAACAAATTTTCTGAATTTTCCTGATTTTATTTTATAGATTCGTCTGCTGCAAATCAAAGCACAAACAACCTTGATCACAAGCTTTCTGCAGAGCACCATTTTAATTTGGAAGTGTTCCAGTCTCATACAGCTTACGTTGTATGAAACGCACGTTCTGATGGCTTTGAAATTCATGTAGTGATTGGGTGGCATAATATGTACATAATTTAATCATAGATAAATATCTAGCACATTTAACACCTGCTTCCCTCTGTACACTATACAAAATAGATGTTGTGGTTGCAAGAAATGTACTGTTAAAAACGTGATTTAATTTCTGGATGGCTTTTTAGATCAAACTTTAGAATTTTATTTAAGGCTTATTAGATGTCTTGTACAGCGTGATATAAGCAGGTTGATAATGTATCAACCTGTATAAATGACCAAACGAAAAAAGTTAGAAACACCGAAGTCCACATAAATCATGTCAATTCATACTTTATAAAGGTTTATAAAGAAAAACTACATGACACCCCATGTATATGAATAAACATGAACTAAATAGCAATATAAAATAAAACATCCTAATGCACAGAACTGCTAAATAAAAGAAATTATTGAGAGAGAATGTTTCAGTTCTGGCAGGATATCTTTCTTTTAGTTTATTGTAAACTACAGGCTGACTCTACCTTCTTAAAATAAAAACAATAATAATAATAGTAAATATAATTGACAAGGAATAACATTTTTGTTTTTTAAAATCATATACCTTTAAAGTATCATTTGTGAAGGACATTTAAATCTATTGGCTGTAGATGGTTGTCTAACTAACTTACAATTAACCATACAAATTATGACCATTCTTACAAGAATAATTTCATGAATTGCACAGGTTATATTCAAAAACTATAGTATCAAAACAGTAGCTTAACTAACTTTTCATTATGTAATCAATGCAGTCCTGAAAACCATTTCTTCCTCTTCAAGCATAATTTAAAGTAAATCAAATGGCTCTAAATGGCTTAAAAAAATAAAAACTTTTGACTTCCAACAATATAATTTTAAAAAAGTAAAGGCACTTTCAAATCTAAAGATGAACAAGATATAGTGGAAGTGCTGAGCAACAGCTTTGTCACTGCTGCTTTTCATGTGACAACAGAGAAAAAACTCTTGTTGTAAAGCACTTCATGTCTCCTTTGTTCTCTCTTCGCTTCTTTATTTCCTCTGTGTTACAACATTTTCTTCAGCAACCCTTCTGCTTTAGTTAAATGTTGCAACAGCTTGAACCAAGGCTATAGACGCTGATAAGCGAGAATAAGTCCAATTACTCATTCATTGTCTTTAAATGCAACAGTACACAGCCGGCAGGTAAAGTGATCACAATTAAATGTGACCTGATGTCACTTCACTGACTAGGCATGTGACGATGGGTCAAAGTTAAGTTAAAACCTCAATTTTTTTTTGTTATACCGTTCCTATGTTTTTTTTTTTTTTTACAACAATTTTATTGAGGTTTTTAGGGCAACAGTATCTTCAGCAGAAAAGGGCCCTCCACATCAAAAGCCCATGATTCAGAAAACATCTGAAAAACAAATCACTTTTACACCAACATCCACGCCTGCTATAGACCTGAACAGTGCAGTGGCTTACTTCATATCCAAAGAAAAGTTAGATAAAGAAGCCTTTTAAAGGTTTAAAGAAATCTGTGTTTTAAAACTAATGAAGATAGCAGAGGTCAATGACTTATTTTAATTATTTAGCCTGACATGTTTCAGGCATGTGATCAACCGAGGACAAAAAAAAAGGAAGACGAGACTGTGCCCCCAACACACACACACACACACACACACACACACACACACACACACACACACACACACACACACACACATATATATATATATATATATATATATATATGTGTGTGTGTGTGTGTGTGTATATGTGTGTTTCAGAAAAAACAAAACAAAAAGCGCTCTGGGGTTCAAATGTATGGTCGGTGCTCTTTGGGTAAGGGATTCATCAAATCTGCAACAAGAATAATAATAATAATTCTAAAAAATAAAAACAATAATAATATTCTATAATATAAATATTTGATGTTGGCCACACAATTTAAGTTTTATTTTTTGTTTCATGAGTTAGTTGTTTAATAGTGACCAAAGTAATATTTAATAGGTTTATACTTTGTACCTCGATGTCTGGACAGATCCCCACACCGCCACTAGATGGCGCCACTAACTCGGTTAGTTCTCTTGTGTTCACAGAATATAAATTTGCCTGTAATTTAGTTCACACTTTATTCCAAAATGATAAATATACTACTAGTCAGGCAACAATTCGAACTGTATTTATTAATTCCACTTGAATTGAGTAGTCTAATATGTGTTAATATTTCACCCTAAAAAAAATTCATACAATTGCTAATATGAGTCTATCACTTGCACTTTTCCTTTTCTTCGACTCAATCCTTGTTTTCAATAGCTTTAATTAATTCCAAAATATATTTTTATACATTTGTACATTTTATACATTGTATTGAAATAGCAATTTGGACATGCGCGATTTCTAAATCTGACTGAATAAGACTGAATATCCTGTAAGTATAAATCAGGCTTTACTTGAGTTTGATAGCGCGCGTTCATACAAACACATTTGTTTTGTCATAGTGCTGCTCTAGAGACGATAGCCCCTTTCACACAGTGACACCGGTAAATATCTGGAAAATTTCCGGAACGACTTTACCGGTATATTCAAAAAAGCGCTGTTCACACAGGCGAGGACATTACGGAAATTTTCCGGAAAAGAGCATTCACACATCCATCGCAAAATACCGGTAAATTCTGACATCATTCACCACAAATGAGCTTTAAACGGCTGCGCTTGTATTTGTAAACATTTGACTAAATTACAAACTCTGTGGATGATCAATATTGTGAACAACTTTCGCAGGATCACTTTCTCATGTCGAGATGTTCATAATATGTGCGTGTGCAGGCGCTCACATGCTGTTTCACAGGCACACGCAAAGCTTGAAGGTAAACAAACAACGGCTTATCATAAGCATCTCATCGATGATTATTTACACAGTTGGCATAAAGAAGAACATATAAATGTGATCTGACTAACTTCTAGCAGCTAAATGTGTCTGGAAAAATATTCAAAGGTTTTTATTCTCACAAACCGCGCAGACGTAAATGCGTCTGACTGTTGTGATTGGCTAAAGCAGACGTCTCACGTCAGCACGTTCTAGACGTGCACGCGCTTATTACGGTAATCTTCCTTCTGCATTCACACAGCGCAGCATTCCAGCAAATTGCCGGTAATGTTACAACTTCTCTTTCCGGAAAATAGCCAGAACGATTTTACCGGTATTTTCAAAAAGGACCTGTTCACACATACAACCTTTCCGGAAAATTGCCGGCAATTTTCCGGAAAGGTCTGTATGTGTGAAAGGGGCTAATGTGTTACAGCTTTACTATGCAATTTTATTTTGTGTCTGTTTTAGAGACATGTTACAGGTCTTTGATGAAAATCTGAATGTCTTTCTTTTTAAATAGGTTTCAGATTTACACTGTAAACACAGATTCAGTCTGTCTGTGACAAAATCCTGATTAAAATTGAAATCACAATATTGTTCAAGAAAATCGTGATAGGTTTCTTCTGCCCATACCGCACAGACTTATACCATCAGAATCTTATACCGCCCATGCTTATCACTGACCTCATGAACAATACAAAAAGATCAAATGTAAGATGCCGGAGGAAGAACCTGAATCAGCATGGGAACCAAATCGGAAAGATGCACTAATAGATATTGTGATGGAGTGCTGGGATTGATCAGACAGTGATACAGTGTGAGATGCTGACCTAGCGTGTTGATCATGCAGATTCCGCACATATCTAGCGTGAGCAGGGTTTTGTAGACCGGCTCGCCTCCCTCATGGTTCATGAAGAGGTGGTAGACCACTGAGCCCAGCTGCGGGGACAAGCAGGCCAGGAAGTGCACCACACCGAGCCACGTCACGCTGATCTGAGACCAGGGGATGTTGAGCGGGAGCAGCACCAGGAAGCAGAGCAGAGGAATTCCTGAGTGGAGAAAGAGAAAACAAGCAGACAAAGAGGCTCAGGAGAGTGATTGTGTACAGAAGATGCATAAAGTGCTGTCGAAACACGCAGGGCCTGTGAAGAGATTGAGACGGTCGTTATTGGACATTACGCTCAGACAAGCCCTGCAGTGTTTTATCGTGTCCCTTGAGCTGAATGCTGCAGCCTAAACAACACATGGATTTATGGAGGCCCAGGGTACAGTCCAGTACAATGAGGGTCTCAGCAGGCTTTGCTGGGCTAATTTTAGCAGCAGCTGCCAAAATGCTAACTACGAGCTAAAACAAAGACCTTTAAATGTCTTTAGGGCTGAATGACACTCTGTGGCTTTATATTAGGGACTCCAAGTGCACGACTGCTGAACAATTTTATGACTATTTGTGAATCGCTTTTTCTCTCTGTCATTCCCTCAGCGTCAAATGATTTACCCTGGCCAGGTAAAAGCACCAATGCCTTCTAGTACATCTATTTTGAGTGAGTTATCTCTGTTGGCTTAACTCTTGCTCTGACACTATTGGTAGAGAACATGCCCTATACCCTAAAAAAGTACATGCGTTTGAGTGGCACATACAGTTTGTACTTAAATGTGCACATTAAATGAAATGTTTCACTGACATATTATTGATAGGTAATACTGTAAATCACAACTTTAGTTTAAAAAGCAGTAGCTTGTGGAAGCCAGCTTCTGCCACATAAAAATAATGCTTTGGTAAATCATTATGACAAAATGAAGAATGGAAATCTGGCGTTTAATGCTCCAGGTCCATTGAATTAAAAGTATGGTTGTTTATTAAAACATTTCATAGAATTTAATTACTTTGCTTTCTTTCATGGTTGGAAAGTATTCAAATTTAAATTAAAGAGATTAGTTTTACTTTCATAAACTCCCACTTAAAAAAATTTTTACAATAATGTTACATTAGTCAAAATTAGTTACTAACAAAAACTAAGAAACTTGTACAGAATTTATTAACCATAGTTCAACATTTACTAATGCTTTATTCACTATATTGTTATGAAGAGTTTAGTTGCAAAAACCTCTAAAGGACATCTGAAATTTTCTTGTAAAATTAGCATTTTTACCAGCTCCTGTGTGCAAGTTCAGTCACTTCTATGGCAAAAATAAGTTCTTTTCATGATCTTTAAAGTGAAATAACTCAACATAAAACATAGAAAGCTGAAAAAAACACTCATTTCCCATACACATTTCATACATTTAAAAATATACATATTTTTTTCTATAAAATAACTGTTCAAAAGTAGTCTCATTAAATGTAATAATTTATACCAGTGATTTAAAAAATTATTTTCAGCTTCATTATTGAGTCTTCATTACTCCAGTCACAAGATCCTTCAGAAATCACACTAATATTAATAATTATTACTACTACTACTACTACTCTTATTGTTTATATTAATATTTTTTATTTATTATTACTTATTTGACAAGTACTAAAGTTATAAATATTAAAAATCTACAAAGTTATATTTGTCATAATTGACTAATAGAACTTTACAGATATTTTTACACATGATTTTCTTCCAAAATACCAGAACACAAATGTAGCATCTTTTAATGATCGGATTAAATTAATAATCTCATAGTCTCATAAATTAAATAAAAATAAAAAAATAAAAAAATTGTATTTTGAGGGTGGTATTTTAAGTACTTGCAAGTACCCTTTTTACGCTTACTAAAAACTTTTCAGATTTTTTTTTTTTTTTACTGTCAAAACAAATATAAATGTATAATGAGGTTTAAAGTGATTTACTCACTCGTGTGTACAGAAATACGGGTATGATTTCACTTTCCTTGGCTCAGCACAAAATAATTTTTACAAATTTTTAAAAAATTTCTCAAAAGAATTAATTTTGTGTTCAGTAAGAATATAAAATAACTCATAATTCATAGAACATCACAAAATAACCACTTTTTTGAGTGAATTTTTTTGTGCTGAGTGAACGTCAGTGTCAATTAATTTGTGCAAACATCCGCTATCAGATCATATAACCCATCTTTGGCCAATACAGAGTTAGTGGAGACCACAGACCATAAAAGAAAGAAAAAAAAATAACGCGCACACTCACAGACATCAGCAAAAGTGGTTAGACCATGAACTGATCAGAAATGATTAATATTCACCATCAAGTGTCAGACTGGCGATGACTGAATCTTTCTTAAAACAGCAGATGTTACAATGGGAAATATGTGAACAACATCAAGTGTTGCAGTCAAAGCATGCCGTGCAGACATGGGATGAGATTGTGCATACGTATCATGCAAAGTAAAACACAAATACTTCAACACAAAGCAAACACATTTAAGGAGCATGCACCTCGGCTGGCTTTAAATGCAAGGATGGAAATCCTTATGTAAAAACAATCCTAAAAGAAAGCACCATCCTTCAGTCTACTTCACTAGTTTCCTTGAATTGTTACAAACTCCATTTCAACAGTGCACAAAATGCAGACACAAAACAAATGCCTCTATATTCCTGATTAGAAAAGGACAAGTAGGTAGGTGCAATTGTATACAGCAAAGTCATCTTTTGGGTCAAGTTAAGCTGTGTCGCTCAATTCAAACCTCTAATTTCTGCTTACTTACTGTAACTACAGAAGGCCAGAACGCTCTCAAATATACTCCAAACCACAGTGCTTACTAAGCACACAGTCACTTTGAGAATGATGCAGTTTTTCCTTATTGTTGTGAATGTGCCATTTGTCGCCATAAAACAATTAAACATAATCCCAAGAAGGTTTTACCAGTCAACAACATTCTTGGAAGGGAAGTGTAGTTTGACAGCACCTGGAGGCAACCACATGACCAAACTTGATGGTTCCACACAGAACTGCAATTAAGCCTACATATTTACAAGCAGAAATTCCTTTGGAGTTGACCTTTATGCCTGAGATTTTATATATATATATGCATATATATTTCCTCTGCAACCAATACACTAGAGTGTATCTAGTAGTAAGTACTGCAGCTCCAATACAAAAGTACAGCACAAATTATTTAACAAAACAACCATTTTGTTATTGACAAAGAATTAATTATGTATAGGAAACTGCAGCATATAGTGATGCACACAGCAGAAGAGTGGGATGGAGAGTTTGGTCAAAGATGCCGATCTTTGCACTTCATGGTGTAGCTGTACAGTCATTAAAAGGAGCAGTTCACACAAAATGAGCCTTTTTAAATTTAATCTTGTAAGACATACGAACGAGATGCTCTGAAAAATGAACAGGCCAGTCTTTTTCAATGAACAGGGGTGATTGAATATGTCAAGGTTCTAAAAGGACACTTAAGACCAATTCACACCGCATACACAAACAAATAAGTTTAGAATGTTATGAAAATTACTGTCATGTTCACGCTGAACCAAAAATTACCACACACACAATACGTCATTCATTCATTCATTCATTAAATAAATATATGATCCATCTCATGGCTAGAAAAACATTTACTTGAAGCCTATCTGGTCCGTTATCAGATTAGGTCTGAGTTTTTTTTTTAATTACATTACCGAGTCCGACCAAAAGTTTGGGGTCTGTTTTTTTAAAGTTATTATTATTAGTCTGTTCATCAGGGCAGCATTTATCAAATGTAAAAAAACATTTTTAAATTTTTAAATACTTATTGATCAAATATTTATTTATTACTTATTATATGTATTTTCAAATGAAATTATTAGTCCAGTCAATATTGCTTTTATTACTATTACCATTAATAATAATACTACTACTACTAATAATAATAATAGTAGTAGTAATAATAATAATAATAATTATTATTATTATTATTAATAATATAAGAATGATTTTTGAAGGACCATGTGACTCTGAAGACTGAGGTAATGAAGCTGAAAATTCATCTTAAAAATCACTGGAATTAATGATTACATTAAATGATAAACTACATTTGAACAGTTATTTTATGTGCAATAACATTACACAATTTTCCATTTTGTTCTGTATTTTTGATGAAATAAATACAGCCTAGGTGAGAAGGAGAAGATAATTTTAAAACATTTAAAGGCCATGGTGACCCCAAACTTTTGACCGGTGGTGTCTATTTGGGAATTTTTATCTTGTTTTTAATCCAAAAATCTAAATTTCAAATCGAAAACAAGATCATTTTTCTTAACCTATTAACAAATGATTTAACTTGTTTACAGTTTAATGTACTTTTGACTTATTACCTTTGAAATGAAAACAAAATGTTTTACTTTAAGATTTATTAGTTATTTGAACAAGAAATGAGACAAAAAAAAAACTCTTAAGTAAGCAAAGCATTTTTTATTTTTTTTCATTGTGATTATTCAATTTCTGTACCTAAATACAGTGTGCGAATTTTACACTGATGTTCAGGGGGTAAACTTTTATGGTTAGATTGTGTAATACATGCTGTGTAATTACATCTAGTTTATCATTAAACGTATTTAAGTGTTCAGAGTTTTGAGGGATATTTAATGTATTCTGACCAAAAGTATGTGATTTCAGACATTACTGTATAGGTCAAACTATTTAAACTGCACCTAATTTGACTTTACTTTCAGGTTATATGTAGATACAAACACCTATTTTAGCTTTTGACATCTTGTGAACACTTACGATGTCCGCCTGTACTTAAGATCTGCCAGCTTCAGACTGTTAAATAAATAAAAAATTGGATAGACTGACTGGCGCGATTTTGTATTTACAATGGTATGAACTATTACAGGGAGGTCAAATATTTTAATAATTTTATTATTTTAGTAGAAAATATATTATTTGTATATTTTTTGTAGAAATATAAATATTTATATATTTATAAAAACATTATTATTTAAAATACAAATCAGAGTAAACTATTTCTCAATATTAAAAGACTGACCCCCATACATCCTGTTTTTGCCGTCCTTCAGGGGGGATCAAGTGTTTAATACCCCCAAACCCCCCTGTAATTCGCACCCTGCCTAAATACTATTAGACTCACCAGTAAAAAAATTATAATAATTTAACTATTCAAACCATCTGGTGAAACTGTATATGTATATATATCGCCGAAAAATAAAATATCGCAATATCAGATTTTTCCAATATCATGCAGTCCTATATCACATTGCTTTGACGTCCACGATGCAACAAATGCGGATTAAACATGTTCAGTCGGGGGTAAAACAAACTCTGACCGATGGCAACAAATGCCGACAGGGGTAACACACTGATCCAAACTCCAACAGACTTGTTTGTAGGCGTTTGTCTGTGTGGTGTGAATTGGCCTTAAGACTTCTATGCCCTATATTTCAAGTCTTTCAGTTTAATGAGAGAAGTACATAATTTGCTCAATAAGCAAGTGATTCATTTGAAGATTTTCAGTGAATGTGTCGATTTTGACAGTTTACAAAACAATTAATTATTAGTTCAATTGACTAAAGGTCATTATTAAAGAATAACAGATTACATTTTAACCTGTTTAGGAACAGGACTAAAAAGAACTATATTATTATGATGTGGTTGAGAAATTTCAGCATTATGGATGTGACTTTTGAAGTAAAAATGCAAAACATAATTTTACAGAGAAAGTACATGTTAACATTACATTAAAACATTTTTTTTACATTTTTCAAAACAACTAACCATGAAGTTATGAGAGCAGGAAAATATCAATCTGTAAACTCTTTTAGATTTTAAATGAGGAAAACAAACATGCGTTATAGATGTGTTTAAAAAAAGTTGTCGATTTACAGTTTACAACATACTTTGTAGAAATTCTGTGAATGAAACTGCACAACCATAAAGAATGAATGCTAATCAAAAGGATAAAAGTTGTCTCTCTGTAGAACAAAAACGATTAATTATATTTTATTCAGCATTCTTGCATTTATGAAGAAAAAGCTTTGCTATGGATGTAATGTCTCTCCGTTATGGATGTGACAGGTGTGAAAATGACACTTGTGTGTATTTAAATTACATATATTTGTTTGAGAATATTGACAGAAACATTGTTGAGTATTTTTACAGTACTGTAAAGTTCAAGCCTACACAAAGAACCTAGAGTTTCGCTATTTTGGTGAAAACTTATGGCAAGATTGACATTTGCATGAAATTGCTCGATTGCATTTAACCTTTTTTTTTTTAAATACCTGTTTTGTTTGTCCTTTTTCTTACCAATTTGACCTTAACTTAGAGGTTATGTGCTCATTTCATTAATTGAACTGCAAGCAGCAACTTGCTCATGCTTGTACTCGGGCACATGTATTGCACAAGAAACTGAGATTCAATACCTCAAACTTCTGATTTAATCACACTTTTCCCCATTCTAGTAAATTAATTTGGAAATATCTAATTATAAAAACATCCAGATGTCACGCTGCTGAAGATGACATTTAGATTGTAATAAAAAAATGTGCTGTGCAGTTTTGTCTCAATTAAAAAATAAACACACAACAAAATGAGAAAAAAAAATTTCTCAGCCACGCGCATAAACATGCCCGTTTTTACACAATTTTTAAGGCTTAATGAATGAGGCAAAAATGTCACTACATGAATAAGACTGATCAGGGCATGTTTTAACATTTCTCCATGTTCTAAAAAGGAAAGCCATAGTTTGTTTTTTTTTGGCCAACTTGTGTATAAATATGTAATAACTATGTAATAACACTCTTCATTTTGGGTAAACTATACCCTTAATGTGAAGCTTCATTAAAAGCCACTAAGTTGTGGTTTACAAAACACATAGCTTGAATAGGAAGCAGAGACCATTTCCTGTCTCTGGCGATATAGCAACATTTAAATAGGGTTAAGACTATAGCTACGAATGGGTAATACAAATGCAAATACTGGTAAGACCCAAGCAGCCAGTATGACATGACAGCTCTAATAGACATGATAAAGGTATAAATCACCAAAATCTCAAACTTTTGTTGAACCCAAAGAAGGCATTTTGGAAAAAAGTTGTTAACTAGAACATTAACCTCTGACTTTCATAGTGCTTGTTTTTCTTACTATGGAAGTGAATGATAAGTGGTTTCCAACATTCTTCAAAATACATTATTTTGTGTTTAACAGAAAAGGGAGTCGTATAAAGGTCAGGAACCACTTAAGGGCAAGGGTGAACTATCTCTTTAAGTAATGCACTTCATTTAAAATCACACCCCTAAAAAGATGAAGCTGATGACATGTAATAAGCACATGAAGAGAGAGGGCACTGTGAGCTTCCTGTCCCGAAGTAATAACTCACTCACCATGTGTATAGATATTCCCCAGCTCATTGTGCAGATAGAAGAGGCTCTTGATACACTCCTGGACGGTGGAGATGGGTCTATAACCAGTCAGGACGTATTTGTTGAACTGTAAATGTGGAGGAGAGTTTGCCCAGTCCAGCAGTCTGGGCCCGTTTAAAAATGCCATAGCAACCAGAAACAGTCACGACGACGACGCTAAAATAACTACCCTATACATCTACACGTACAAGTACAACACAGACTAAAAAAAGATCTGACACCCTAGACATTAGTCGGAGAAGTCCAGTGCGGTCATGTGCAGCCAGCTACATGGCTAGCACAGCTCCTCTTTAGCCGAAATAATTTTAAAAATCAACTTTTGCCTCCGCGACGGTTTGTGTTTGGACGCTGGCGGCGGCGTCATCCACACGGGTTGACGTAGAAGATCCAGGCTGCGTTCATAGTGAGCTTCGCTGATATATACAGGGCTGCATGTAACATTTAAACGAAGTGCGGTCACACCCTGCCCGAGCCTTTAAAACAAACCCCTCCAGCTTCTGTCAGCTCGACTTCAGTGGCGACCAGAGGACAGCCGGCTTTCGTTTGCAGCTCATCAAAAAGCCGCTGGTTAATTTCACCATCGGGAACTGCAGGGGTTTCGTGAAGGTTCAGAGTAACTTCCTCATATTCCCGTAGAGTGAATCATCATCATCATCATCACCACCAGCGTTGGCATTCACTCTGAATTCAGCTACCAGCGCTCTGTGACACTCGTGTGTTTTGCCAAAAAACTGATACTAAACTCATTAACGGGACATGTCGACTCGAACGGCGCACGGATAGGCGTGTTTTTGCGGTAAACAAATACCGGTTCAATTTAATGCTGATAAGACAATATTGCTTGGCACCAAATCGTAAGTATGAAAACATACAGTGTACAATGTCAGAATCGATATGACATCCCACGGGGTTTAGGGGGTTAAATTGAGGGTATTCGGCTAACATAAAAAAACAAAGATTTTCAAATTCTTATAGATATGTCAAGTTCATCCCCTTCACATACGAGCCTCCCCTGGCATTACCTACGTAATAAGTGCACCGTCCACAATAAATAAATGAATAAATACATAAATAAAAAGAACACATGCTTCATGTGCTTTCTTCTTTTAGTTTAACAACAGAGATCTTCTGATATCAAACGCGTTGCCTGTTCCCTGTCTCGCACTACCCGGATAGCTTGAAGAGCTAACGGGCTAGCTGCCGTCACCTTGATTGTGCTGACTGCAAAAACACACGAGCTCCACAGTCACTGTTTTAGCGGTGGTCACACATCACAGCCGGTTTCCCCAAACAGCTGCACTTGCATTCCTGCAAGCCCCCTACTCCGACTAAAATATCCCTATCCGTAGGCTTGGCATTTGTCATCCAGCAGACGGAGGAATGTTCGTGGTGCTCGGCTCACAGAAACACGTCTCCTCTACGGTGCCAAGTGATGTTGCTGCTAGCTTGCAGTGATTTCAGCCAGCAGAGTTATAAATGAGAGCTTTGGAGAGGAAATCCGTTTCTGATAGGCGGCTTTATCAAAAAAAGGTTAATATCCGCGACATTCGTCCGGCGCATTTCTTGTGGGCTGTGTGATACCGGTGTGCGGGAACATGCGGCTGGTGGAGGGGCGCAGCGGCCCGGCCTTCACTCTTCTCATCCGCTGATGCTGCAGCGCTATAATCCAGTCTGGACCAACTGGGACGAGCCGGGGGTGGCGCGAGGACAGGATGCATTCAATTTTCCTTTATTAAAAGATTTTTGCCCATTAAAAATACATTTTAAAGATGTCACAACATGAAATCATAAACTATCTGCTTCGCATATTGTATTTGATATTATTTAAAATCATTTAGGCTATACCTTAATGATAGCTCAAAATAGCGTTGTCCGAGTCTCTTTTTTCTCTGAATTGGTTGAACAAAGCTGAGTCTAAACGATTCGTTCGCGAATCGGTCTAAACGATTCAACCATGCATTGGAATGAGCCACCGAAGATAGCATCGTCTGCTCGTTTGATTGAGTAGCCTAATTGAATCCATACTAATGAATGTGTGAGGTATGAATGGCTCCGGTACGCAGGCTGTCCACATTCTGTAGCACTTTACCATATACGGTGGGTACTTTTTGACTATCAGTCATTCCTTTGTCACATTTAAATATTTTTTTCACTTAGTAAGTAGTCAGCTAGAAATCTCAATCATCAGAATGAGATGATTTGGGGTTTTAGTAAGGATTTGACCAATGTGTCAAAGTTACAATGACCCATTCATTCATTCATTCATTCATTCATTCATTCATTCATTCATTCATTCATTCATTCATTCATTCATTCATTCTCTTTTCAGCTTAGTCCCTTTATTCATCTGGGATTGCCACAGCAGAATAAACCGGCAACTTATCCGGTATATCTTTTACACAGCGGATGCCCTTCCAGCTGCAACCCATCACTGGGAAACATCCATACACTCTTGCATTCACACACATACACTACAGTCGATTTAGCTTATTCAATTCACCTCTCTTTGGACTGTGGGGAAAACCGGAGCACCTAGAAGAAACATGAACACAGGGAGAACATACAAACTCCACACAGAAATGCCAACTGACCCAGCCAGGGCTCGAACCAGCGACGTTCGTGCTGTGAGGTGATCATTCTACCCACTGCGCCACCTTTACAATGACCCCCCAAAAAAATATATACCATGAAATTCTACTGGAAAATATTCCTATATATATATATATATATATATACTGTATATATATATATATATATATATATATATATATATATATATATATATATATATATATATATTAATACATTTAGAACTTTTTTAATGTTTACATGCAGACCAACCGATAATAAACAATCTGAAATTATTAAAATAACCTGTTTTACTGGATATGCAAATCAACAACTTCACCTAAGATATAAATTAAGTACCTGCTACACTTTAAAATTCCGCTTTTTGAAACAACCGACTGTTCAAGTTTACATGTAAACCAACAACAAAGACCATTTCTTCCATCCAAATATTTCTGAAGGATGAAACTTAAATCCAGTCCAACATTTTTTAAATTTACGAAAGCCATTTTACCTTGAAAAATGATGTCACAACAGGGCGTAATGAATCTCAAATACTAAACTTCATATGCATTCGTGTCTTTGAAGACTTACAATAGCCAATACAATAGTATTCATCAATTTAGCTTTCGAAAGGTTGCCCGTGAATGGAGAGGGGTCTGGATGCAGACCTGGTGCAGTGCAATCTGAGCTGCATCCAATGCGTTTTAATGGGCTCACCTAACCCCACCCCTAACCCTACCCATCACGGTGACGTCACTCACTCCATATAAGTGCATTGTGTCTGACATTGCATCGCAGAGTGATGCAATCTCAGCTTGCATCAGAAAGGCTGCATCCAGATACTATTGCATGAATGCCCCTTCCTCTTTGGGTTGCCATTTGAGATTGGGCCAAAAAATACTGTTACATTTCATGCCAACTTTTCTGAACCAAATCATGACTGCAACTGGGACACATTAAATTAATACTTAATAAATAATACTAATACTATTAACACTAATACTCTAGACAACATTGGTTGATCAGACAGCAATGTAGTCCCTAAATATGACTTAATTAAAAGTTTAGCTTTATAAGTGGCACAATCCAGGTCAAAGATCTTTAAATGAAACAATTGAACTTTTATTGCACCAGGCTGCATGGATTGACAATGCCAGCTTGCCAACAAGCACAACCAGCAGGGATGGGTAGTATTTATGATACAAGTATTTCTAATACACATTTTGCAAGTTGTATTTGATAGGGTGGATGATAATGGGTTAATATTTTGTATCAAAATACTTTAGTGTCTTGTATTTTTGAATTTTAAAAATACTGTAAAATACTTTGTAGGAAGTCTATATGATGACATCTTTAAAATGCTGCCTCAGATTGATGCTTTCTGTTATTTGCCTATTCTTGAGGTCAGAACAGAAAATTAATAAGGTGTTCAACTCTTGTACTATGGATGGAAGTTATGCATATTTCCTTAAGAAATAAGTTAGAGTAAAATATTAGTCCTTAAGAACAGAATTTGGAGCCTACAGCACATAATTATTCTCAGTCTCAGCGCTGCAGGTGGAAATTCAGACAAACTTTTAATAAAACACCTAAAGATGGTGTGCTGGTGTTCGCTAAGTGGGTAAACTGAGACTTTTCCAGTTAAAGGAGAACTGAAAGAATCTTGCGGGAATGAGTAAACTGCACATATAATAGTAGTTTTGGTTAAATTGCTGATGTAGATGCCAAGAAAATAAGACAAACAACATTAAAACAAGTCCTACAGTGGCTGACTTAATCTTGCTTAGAAAAAAGCTGTTGTTATCAAACATGGTTTACTTCACTAGGTCAGTTTAATGGTGAAGCGATTGATCGAATATGCCTGTTGATAGAAGGTTTGCGAAGAAATGTTATACTCCCATGTAAAAGTGAGGGTATTCTCACACTAAAATACAGTATTTTAATGTAATACTTGTTGTGGCTGCTGTATTTTTTAGTTTATTTTATACATATAAAATTGAGGTATTTGAAAATACATTTTAATGTATTTTTGCCCATCACTGAGCACAGCCGTCAATAAAATTGCTTAACATCTGACTATTTTTTGCATGTTTTGCATTTTTGCAAGTGTCACAATATATTTCCCTCCAGAAACTTGCGTTCTGTGAATGAAAGTCGCCTCGTGGTTCCATCCTAAAGAGGGAAGAAATCACTTTCCTGAACTCTCGCTCTAATCTGCCCAGTTGGTGGGATGAACTCCCTAACTGCATCAGAATGGCAGTCACTCACTGTCTTCAAAAAATGACTTAAAACTCAACTATTTAGTCTCCACTTTCCTTACTAATTTGCAATTCCCTCTCTGACCCCTCCACTAACTACATTATTAAAAAAAAATGACTACTGTTTTGCTTCTGACACTTTTTTTGCATACCTGAAACTTGCCTATAGCACTTATTCATTGTTACTTTTATAGTTGTGTAAATTGCTTCCTTGTACTCATTTATAAGTCGCTTTGGATAAAAGCGTCTGCTAAACTAAATGTAAATGTAAATGTAATATTTATTTTTTTTTATTCACAAAGAGTACTGTAATAGTGTACTGCCTTTTACATATACAAGAATGAC